AAGCTATGAAGGAGTGTGTTTGGTTTTTGGCTTTTTTTTTTTCCTCTCCAGTTTTTTAAAGTTTCTTGAACATCTGTTTTGGAAGGACTTTAGTAAAACCAGCAGAAGAAATTATGGGAATAGACTTGGATCACCTTTCTAATAGCTTTTATCACTAGAAAAATCATGCTTCACGTGCATTACTTAATATGGCTTTTTCCAACGAGCTTTTTTTCTGTTAGTAAATGGATGTTTCTGCATTCCTTAAGACACAGGACACTGGAATCTGAAAGCAATGGGCTGATTGGGGTGGTGGGACTGATTCTTTTTTAAAAAGGCGGGTGTTGGTTTAAAAGGTGTTATTGTAAAATTGGCAAAGAATCTTTTACACTTTGTGGTATGAATACTTGAAAAATGAATACCTCGTTGCTCTACAAGTAGAGTTAATGGGGTGTCTTATTTAAACCTGTTGGTTTAAATATTACTGCAGAGAACTCTAATTATGGGGGCGAAGTCTAGGCTTCTGTATCAGGTTCTTGTAAATGTAATTCCTACAGGGACATTCTGTAAATGGAGATGTCGCTATGAGCTTCTCGCATTTTCTCTAAAAACACAAAACAAGGCAGGTTTTAAAATGTGAAAATTTGAAAGCGTTATTTTTTCATGGACAAGAGGAAAACCTATTGTTCTCCTAGATGATGTATTTATGGGTTTTGTTCGGTACAGAAATAAATTGTTTAATTGAATAAATTAGAAAAATGTGGTAAAATGAGCCTGCAAACTCCATTATTTTCCTTCGTTACCTCCACGCTCACAGTGCTGTACGGGATGCGCACACCGGCACACGCACACATGGAAATACCTTGTTCTGAGTCCTCCAGATTGCTGCTCTTCCCCACGACGACAGACCTTTCCTTCGCCTTACCAGACTGTCGAAGACTGCGCGAAACCTGAACCAGCTGATCTGCGGACGGCGAAGCAGCTGTGCTTGGGGATTTCTTCTGGTTTTGCTTGTTTCAGAGAAAATGGAAAAGGGTGCCTGCATGTGCTTTTTACATGGTGTGTGCTTTCCATAAAGCAGCGCTGTTGGAGTGGTAAGAGGAGCGATGCAGGTTGCCTTCTCCACAGTCTGATGCCGATTTCTGCTCTCGGCGTTCCATCCTCGCTTTTGGTCGCTATTGGGCAGCGCTGTAGAATCTTGCGCCTTTCCGTGCTTTGATCAGGAGTGCTGTCGGTGGCGGAGCTCGCTGGGGATCGGAGCGGGAAGCACCGGCCAGGGCTTGATGCACTGCTCGCTGCAGTCAGCGAGCCGACCCGTGGCTAGAGGAAACAGAGGTCTGTAGGGTTTCAGTGCCCGCTACCGGAGAACACGGATCATTAGGATTCCTGCTCTTGCCTTCTGAGTGCTGAGCTGGGCTGTAGGGGAGCTGTGCGGAAAACCTCCGCTGGCAGAAGAGATCTGCTGAGACAGAAGCTGAGGAGTTTCTGAAGAACTGACTTTCTGCTTCTGCCAAGCGTTCATCTTACACAGGAGATGGGATAAGAGCAATGGAAATGCAATGGAAGAGCCTTCATCTGCTGGAATATACATGTATATGGGAGGGAAAAACCAGCCGCTCGGTCAGAACGCATGGAATAGCAGCTTGTGACGCAGTGAAATGAAGTGCGTTCCTTTCTCGCTTTCTTTAGCTTTCCATGTACGTAGCCACAGCGCTTTGAAGTGTCCAAGATACGGTTTTCTTTAAACTCAGACATAGCATGTAAGTACCAAATAAAATGTGTTTGAAATATTTATTTCTATTTACATTTTCATTTTCTTGCACAGCTGAAACGAGAGTCAGTCTGGGATGGAAAATGCTTCTTGCTACTCCTGGTCTGCTTAAAACTCTTCAGGTTTCCTCTAATCTCTACTGGAAAAGCACTTACAGGGTCACTTACAGCCAGAAACAGAGCAAGTAGCAAGATTTAGCTTCAGTTTTGAGGATTTGTTTAGGGTCAGGTTTAAATGATGGTGATCGTTTTTTGTGAGACTCCAGCACTCCTGCTTCTCTGCTGGCAGCACAGAGATGAAGAGCCTGCTTCATTTCTCATGTGGGTTGTTATTTGTGCGTGTTTGTGTTCTAACAGGGTTGCAGTAAAAACAATCTATAATTGTAATTGTTCCAGGTTTGCTTTAAATGAGAGAGAACTTTTGTCCTTTTTCAAGGGCCCAACATGCAGACTAAAAGCTAGGGAATTGGGAGCAGAATTAAAAAAATGAGAAGGTATTGAACTTTCAAGTCTTGCTTTAAGCCCCTTTCATAGAATCACAGAATCACAGACTTATCTGGGCAACCTGTTCCAGTGCTTCACCACCCTCCCCATGAAGAATTTCTTCCTGATATCTAATCTAAACCTCCCCACTTTCAATTTAAACCCATTACCCCTTGTCCTGTCACTACAGGCCCTTGTAAAAAGTCCCTCCCAGCTTCCTTGTAGCTCCTTCAGGTACTGGAAGGTGCAATAAGGTCTCCTCGGAGCCTTCTCTTCTCCAGGCTGAACAAGCCCAACTCTCTCAGCCTGTCCCCATAGCAGAGGTGCTCCAGCCCTCTGAGCATCTTCGTGGCCTCCTCTGGACTCGCTCCAACTGCTCTGTATCCTTTTCATGTTGAGGGCCCCAGGGCTGGACGCAGCACTCCAGGGGGGGTCTCACCAGAGCAGAGTAGAGGGGCAGAATCCCCTCCCTCGACCTGCTGGCCACACCTCTCCGGATACAGCCCAGGATACGGTTGGCTTTCTGGGCTGCCAGCGCACACTGCCGGCTCATGGTCAGTTTTTCACCCACCAGTACCCCCAAGTCCTTCTCCTTAGAGCTGCTCTCTATCCATTCTCCACCCAGCCTGTACTTGTGCTTGGGATTGCCAAGGTCAAACCAGCAGTCGCAGCAGTGGCAGCCTGCGGTTCCGAAGGCCGGGAGCAGTAACCTTCCACAGCAGCTGGGCTGCCCTCTTTGGGAAGGCTGGGCTCCTTGCTCCTGTCCTAACAGCACAGCACAACTCCTGAGGCGGGGGGGGCGACACTCTGTGAGTCCATTTCCTACGTGACAGCCCTGGGTCATTCAGAGTTAGCTTTGCCTGTTTCACATCTCTCTTACCTCCTCGCTCCTGATGGAGAACGCTGTGTTGTTCTCCTTCTTGCTCAGACCTTGGAGTAACGTTGGCAATTAAAAACCTAGAGAAGCAGCCAGAACTACTGTCATTACTTACACTGGGTCTCTGTTTGGAAAAATAACTTCAAGTCACCCAGCGAGGTGGCCGGGAGTTTGATAGTGTGTTCCTAGCTGTGTCGTTCGGGGCGCTGTACTCCTCCGTTGTAATAAGCCCAGCTGCCCACAGCTGAGCCCGTGAGTCTTTCACCTGAGACTTCCAAAGAACATTTCCTGTCACACGCGAGTATTGGAATCGCCCTGCCGCTTTACCTCACGTCTCTGCCGGCCCTGTTCTTTCAGAGGCCTTGTACTGCGCTGTGGAGGGGCTTTGGAGTGTGGGTCTTGGTTCTAAACGCTGCTATTGAGGAGAACTTGCAGTTATTAGAAGGACTCATTAACAGAAATGCTTCCCCCGGGCACCAAAACTGCACTTAGAGGTTCGGGCCGCAGTAAAACACAACGCTGAGCTCTGAGCTGACAGAATGGGTGGGGTTTTTTTAATTACTATTTTTTTTAATCTCACTTTTATTCCATGTTTGTAGCCAGTAGCAGCCCTAAAGCTTTACGTGCATGTAAGAGTTACACCGTGGTCAGAAATACCTTGAAAGACAGGAAACTCTTCTGTGAGGTTTTCATAAGAAAGTGGGGTATTTGGGAGCCGACGTTCACCACAGGGTTGGTTCTAGAACCTCCATATCCCAGCCAGTTCCACATCCAGCTCCAGCCAGATTCCTGTATTTACAGACTAGTGTGTTGATCAAGGTGGAACTGGATTACTGATGGATGATGAGATTCCCTTACAAATGAAAACCTGCATGACAATGCTAGTGCCCCAGAATTTCAGGGCTCTGTGCTACATCTTTTTTTTTTTTTTTCCCTGAAAAATACTGTTTTGATTGGCTATAAGGTCTGAGAGACAGACCTCTTCCCGCTGGGGGAGAGGGAAGGGGAGGTTGTTCGGTATCCTGTATGCAGGGAAGAAAATCAGTGGAATTTAAACATACTACCACTTTTTTTTTGTGATCAAAATCTCAACTCTTTTAAAATTAAATACTAATATCAAAATATAAGATCAGTTCCTAACTTTGCCAGATTTTGTACACTTTTTCCCTGTTGCAAGTAGGAAATTTGCGGTTTGCAGAACAGATTTCTGTGTTCAAACACCTCTTGCCCCGATCTCTCATGGCAGCTGCTGTATTCTGAAGGTGACTGCAACGTTTACCTGCCTCTTCCACTGGAGCGCAGTGCCCATGGATCAGTGCCCACAAGGATCCGCCTTAAGGCCTGCCCTATTTGTGTTTCTTAGGAACTTCCTGCTGTTTCTCCGAGCTGTCCCTCGGCAGTTACTGCCTGTAGTAACCTGTTAGTAGTTTGCTACCTGTCTACTATGTGCTTGTTCAACTATTTTCTGAAGTCGAGTCCCCAGAGAGTGCTCTGAAATAAGGGGCACAGAACAGGAATAAAATCATGATGAATGCAGAGGAATCCGTGTACTTGAGATGCCTCTTCGGTAGAGTCAGCCTGTTGCGGGAATTAAAGCCTCATGAATACAGTGCTGGTTCTTGGAGGGGGTGGTCAGGAAGCCAGAACCAGCCATGGAAGATTACCCAAGCATAACAGGTTTTTTCCAAACAGTTGCTTAAGCAGCCAGCCAAAATGTTCAAGGGATTGTTTTTTGACCTGATCCGATTCTTGTTATCGGAACATCTCTTTTGTTTGATGAAACTGTAAGTAGCAGGAAAACTTTAACTACAGGAACCAACAAAAATAATTGCCTTCTCTGAACGCTCAGGTCTAGGACCTGGTAAGTTTTCGTAAGCATCTGGCTTAAATATTAACTGTCTTCGTGGGAAATAGCTGCCCTAAGGAGCTCTTGAGTTTCTTCTGTTTGTTGATGGACTTGCTCGAGGAGTTTGGCCATTTGGCATTTCCTGAAGGCTAGTGAAAACTCTGGATCTGAAGAGGAAAAACGAAAGTTAGGCCACCCGCTGGGTTTCCCTGCATTCTAACGCAGATGCTTAGAAAGCTGTTGTTTCAAGTTAGATACAGCTGATGGTTCTTCTCCCAGCATGAAGTATAGAGAAGAGAGAGCAATAATCTCCTGCCACACAAAGCGGATACTACCTCAGTTTTCATCCCTATGACAGTTCAAGGCTCTTTGCTGCCAAATTCTCCCAACCCAGACATCTAAAGCTCAGTCGCCAAATTCAGCCTTATGGAGCTGGTGGGTATCAGGAGGTAGCAGGGTCCTGGCTCTGACTCTACACACGTGGAGGTACAGGCTATGGATGTTTGTTACCATATTATAACTCTCATTTGGACTCAAATTCTACCCAGAGCCAAAAAAACGAAGCAAAAATAGAAAAAATGAAGGAATAGAATTTAACGTATCAAAAGAATGTGAGACCTTCCAGCTTTAACACCAGCTAATCATGCAATTTGCCTGTTTGCTTGCTTTGTCAAAAATAAACTAAATTCATATTTGAAAAGTTTTTAGGCCATGTTCTAGTGCCAAACATTCTTAACTGGGTAAAAACATCTGTAGCCAAAGTCCTGTTTCCCTGCTGATCGGGAAGCCTTTAGTTTTAAAACAAACAAACAAACATCCTCTGCCTTTATCTTGAGATACTCTTAGTTACTTAAAAACGGGCACGGTAACAGCTAGGCCTGAGGTTACGGTGTTTGCTTACGTGAGCAGAGCCAGTCCCCTTAGGAAGCGGCGGTGCCATTTCTGTTAGAAGCGGTGCCTGTTCACCGCTGATGGGAGCAGGCAGCATCTGGCAGCGCCCCGGGGCTCGGCCCAGCAGCACGGACGTACCTCCTCGCAGTCTGCAGTAGGTAGAGATGCCCAGCTGCTGAAAGCGGATCTCTCGGTGGGTGAGAAAATTCTTGAGGTAGGCCTGAATCTCTCCGATGTGGCGCTTCCACAAAGGCATCGTTTTCTCTGTATGAATGGGAGAACAACTGGAGATCAGTAGGAGCCTTTAAAAGGGTTGGAAGTGGATTTTTGTAACAACACGTACGATGGTTAATGACTCATCTACCTTCATCTACAACCAACGTTACTGCAAGGATGGGGAAAGGACTTAACGTACCGCAGCCTCTAAGGGTAGCGCTGATGCCTCAGGTAAATAAAACACCGTGCTAGGCAGCCGGTCCTGTGCAAGGTGCACGCCAACTCGCAGCTGGAGCAGCCCATCCTGCGAACCCATCCGTTACACTGCTGGGCTCTACTTGCTACTCGAGAACCCGCTGTGTAACAGCAGCGTTTGGTTCTGTAAGGTGCTTTCCTCTTGCTGGTCAGGGAGGAGAGGTGAAGTAAAATTTTGGAACACAACCATCCCATTGTAACTGTCTCTACCAGCCCCTGCTCCTTCCTGTGGGGCTGCCACCACGTTGTATATACTGAGAAGGAGGGTTGGACAGGAAGATGCAACGACTCTTGTCTGAAACCTCCTCACCCTTCTCTTGGTAAGGAGTGTGTTACGTCACCCGCCTTCCTCCTCCAGTTGTTTTTAAGGACCTCTGAATTGGCTGCAGCCTAGCCCTGCAGAATGGCTGTGCTTGGGGAAGGCAACAGAAACCTGAACCAGATCTTTATCGGTGGTCTATTTTCATCCCTGGGCTTTCTCATGCACACAAGTGCTGGTCTGTGTGCGTTTCAAGGGTGACTGCCAGTGCTTGCATGCTAATAAATCTGTACAGACCAGGCAGAGGATGCTACAGGAATGCTAAAGGTTGTTCGGTGCCTGACAGTGAACTCCTTTGGGAAAAGGCTCGTTTCACTCCAGACAGCCATAACTATCTTTGGAAGCACAGCTAATGCTGTGTGACAGTTACCATGAGCCATCATGCACTGGACAACGGAGGCAGCTTGAAAGGATGGCTCAGCGTGTTCCAGTTGGCCAGCCAGTCTCACCAAGCACTTTGTCAGAGGTTCATCCATCTGTTGCACCATGCGCAACACGGCTCCTTCTGGAAGACGGAAAGAGGAGAATAGTCTGTAAACAGAAACTCCATCGCGGAAGAACTGGTGGGAGGTCTGCCAGAAACCGTACTGCCTAAAGAGGAAACCCTGCTTGCAGCTGGGGGAGCCAGGTAAGTGCTGACCTTGTGCAAGAGGTTATGTTTAGGTGGTACAACAGGGTCATGTCCTGAGGTGATGTTCTCGGTAAGGTGGGGCCATGGGTTTGATTCACAGAGGGGCTGGTAGATTTTTGTTTTGTTGGGTTTGTGTTCTGAGAGTGAATCAGGCTATGTATGAGATCCACTCGTGCCTCGTGGGCTTACTCTGCCCAGCAGGTGCTGGGCACCTCTTGCAAAATCAGGTGTGACATGTCTCCAGTAGCATGGCAGTTCCACCAGACAGGAGAGATGAAGTGTTGGGCAGGCTGGAAAAGCTTACACCGATCCTCTCTGGCATGAGGAGTGCTGTACCCTCCACGGGTACTAATTTGGGATCTCTTGTAAAATCTATGTGCAAAAAATTTAAAGAGAAAGCCACTTTATATTTTAGTCTTTTTTTATATTAGTTTCTGCTACTGTGAAATGAATTCAGCCAGAGAAACAGGGCGACGTTGCAAATAAAAGCAGATGGGCCAGGTACAGCAGGGAAGTTCAGCCAGAGAATTTTGAGTAAAAACTTTTAGGCAGTTCAACAGAAAAAAGTGCTAACAATGGAGCCCATGTGTCCTGCCGCTGAGTCCGATCTTGCTGCTCTTGAAACTTACGGCAAAGCTCTCGGTGAGTTTAAGGGGAAGGGCCTGGGCTGTACGCCCACCCGTGCCTCCTCTCCCACTAGGATTAATAAAGGATATGTGCATCTCTCGGATGAAGCCATGTGTGGTGGGGTTGCTTTCCTACCTTGCTTTGCCAGCTCAGCAAGGCAGGATGTCACGTAATGAAGAGAGTCTTCTCGGCCGTCCATGGAAAGCACGGTCTGGAGGAGACCTTCAACACACGGGCTCTCGGTGACTCTCTGCGACGAGAAAGAGATTCGCCTTCAGCACTCCCGTTATGTCCTGGTGGTGTCCAAGGACTGTGGAAGTACTGTGTAACTGGTAGCGACACTGAGGGCTAAAACATCGGTAACAGGAATGTCTGTCACCTGGTTGTGGTAGATCCGGGAGGAAATACCCTGGGTTGGTCAGAGGTCACCTGATTTTAGACATTTCCCAGGGTTCTGTCTGTGGAGTGTTCCCATGATCACAGGGTCACCCTGAGCTCAAAGAACCTCCTGACCTATCGCTGCTGTACCGGGCTGTATGTTAGCACTACGCTGTCTGCTCCGCTCTCACTGCAGAGGCGAAAGCCAAGTGCTCCAGGGCATAGCACTTGGAAATGGGGAAGTTCATCTGGTTTGTATTTGCCTCCAGGGCTTTGAAAACTTTCTAGTGTTGAAATGCTCTGAAATCTGCAGAAATATGAGATGACCTCTCACTAGCAAAGGTCAGTTCTGTTTCTGGAGAGAAACGTTGGGAATTAAACAGTCCTGTGTATCCCTCATCTTTTAGGGTGAATCTGCTATGCCAGAAGTGGCGGTGGGGCAGCATGTCTCTGTAGCGGGAGTCGGAGCTGAAAACGGAGAGGTGACTTGGCCAGACCTGACCCTGGAGTAAAGGCACAGGAGACCACGGGAGGAGTCACCTGGAGATGACTGGTACTTGTGAAGCTGGATCACAGAGTCAGCAGCTCTCTGGGTGGCCACAGTAACAGGAGCTGCTCATGCCTCCCTCAGGGAGCTCAGGTGCCTACCGACAACAGGGAATGTCTTTTCCTGCGTGCTCGTTTCACGCTGCAGTTTTTAACTTGCTGCTTAGAGGAGCTGATTGAAGCTGGCTTCAAGACTGCTGCCTTTTAAGCTCTGCTTGTCTCCTGCTGGCATAAAACCAATGCTTTCTTTCAGTCCCTGTGACAAGGGCTCTTAGGTGTTTTAGGGATGGTTCCTTGGAATTGACCCTGGAAACCTGGCACTCACGTTCATGTCCGTGGATTCACTTGGTCACTGAGAGCTAAATACATTGCAAGGCGCGTTGTAAAGCCTTTTTGCAGGTGAACCAGCTCTCTACTTTTTTAAACCATCCTTTCAAAGTTTGCTTTAAAAAAGTTACCATACAGAATAAAGTCACAGAATTGAAGTGAGAAGTATGGTAACTTTTTTAAAGCAAACTTTGAAAAGATTGTCCAGTTTCACTCTGACTGTGGACCCTGAGTTTGAGGGAATCTGTTTCCCTGCAAAAACTCATTTCACAACTATCAGAAATTCATCTAGTTCTTATATTGGCTTAAGTGAAAAAACCTATTGGAAATAGTTTTCCTTTGGGCTGGTTTACATCTCTGGAACTAGCGATAACGGGATCATGAACAAAGGAAAAGAAGGAGAACTGAGTCTCAAGAAGTGTGTGCTCAAAAGTGGGGCAAAGGAGAGGCAAGGATTTGGGTGGGGTTCTTCCCCAGTACGGATTGTTACGAGCGGCACTATTGGATCAAGGTACCCTTAAAAGGCAAGGAGAAAGGAAACGCGTCTGGACACGTGGATTTCGCTACAAGCGAAGTGAGCAATAGAGATCGTCCCAGCGGTGCGGCGCAGCGAGTGTCCTGTCAAACAGGCACAATGTGCATCAACAGCTGGGGTTGTATGTAACAAACCAGGAGTGCAGTTAGATCAGTGATGAACCCCGTGAGTTCACATGTCGCTAACTGAGGGCAGCCAGAGAGTGAGTGGCAGGAAACAAGGATTCACGTCCTAACAAACCTCAGGTTTTCCTGGATAGTTCCATTAATTAGTATGAAAAGTCTTTGCTAGAAATATATTTCATACCTGTGATGAAGTAATTCGAATTAGGTGACCACATCACTCGTAGGAAAAATGAGACGTTTCTTATTTTCATTAGCATGGATTGGAAAAATATGAATTAAAGCCCCTTTCATTACCAGGCTGCTCAAAGCCTCGTCCAGCCTGGCTGTCTTCAAGGCCAGACTGGATGAGGCTTGGAGCAACCTGACCTAGTAGAAGGTGTCCCTGCCCATGGCAGGGGGGTTGGAACTAGATGGTCTTTAAGGTCCCTTCCAGCCCAAACCAGTCTGTGATTCTATGATTGTGTGACACATCAGGCCCTTTTATTCATACACACAATTTTTTGTAGAATATTCTTGGTGTATTTTTCATTAAATTAAAAAAAATGTTTCTGTGAGTGATGCTGAACCACACATAACTGCAAGCTCCCAGGGTACAGTTCAGTGAAAAAAGTTGGGTACATACCTGTCTGTTTTTGGAAAGGCTCAGGTTTTTGATGATACAAGCAGTATGGCCGACAATCACAGGGTCTGTTTTATGCACTGACAGTAGCATTGCCAAGCTCTGTAGTAGCTCAACGCACGCCAGAGTGTCCTGAGAAGAGCAAGAGTATCTCAGTGACATCCCGTACGGACAACACAATGCAGCTTTGCAGCAAACAACAGATGGACAGACAGATCCTGGCTCTGAAAGAAGAGAATTACTGGGCTCATTTAAACCACCGGGGTACTGGCTGGCTCCAGTGTCTTTCCTCTCAAAACACGGGCTGCTGACTGGCGCTGGTCTAGAAAGCACTTGCCATGGGAAGATCGACGGCATCTTTAAGGTCCAGTAGTTTGTTTGCATCAAACGCTTCCCAGAGGTTGCTGGTAGTCTGGGGAGGGATGTGTGATCCTGACTGGAAGGAGAAGTGGCCAGGGAAGGTGTGAAGGCAGAAATACACGGTGCAGCAGCACCTCAGCAATGTACCTCACTTACAGTAACGGAGTGCACAGCTCGATCGGCCCGTGATCAGGCACCGCTTCAGGGACATGCCCTGAACAGCACCTTCTGAGTTTAGACAGGTGTTTCTCTGCTCTCCGATGGATATTTTAGAGGGACTTTCCCAAGTTCCTCTCTCCCTGAATGTAGTCTTCCTCCAATTACTGCTCATAGTAATGGAATCAGATCTGAATTTGGATTGCTGCCCAGGTGGTTTCTCAATAACAGTGTGGACTTGGGGGGGGAGGGGGGTGGCACTGCTGTCTGTAGGAGAAACCTGTTCTCAGTGGGCTTTGGGTTAGGTCTACAGGTAAAAGCAACATACAGTTTCCTCTTGGGATAATTTTTTTTCTTTCTTTCAGTGTCGTTCCCCTAGGAATTGAGCTCTTTATGCTGTTCTTAGCTTTGTTAGTAATTAACTATATTATTTGTGTTCCTTAGAAACTGAGACACATCAGCAAGAGTATTCAGTATAAAACAAATCAGTCCTATGTACAGTTGAGAAAGATCGTGTCATTCTACAACCTGTGCAATGCCAGGATCGCTGAAGCAGCGTGATAGGCAGCTCTCTTTAAAAGTGAGTTTAACTTGCATCTGTCTTCTGCTTAGGTTAAATTACAAAAGTCTACCTTATTTTCTTTTAATATTAGCTGACATTTTCACTTAAATTCATTTGTAAGCACTGTCACAACTAGCAATCCTAAAATAAGACATGGAAATGTATGGAAAGGGCAGTGCTGTGGCTACACTTGGGGCATTTAGAGAATCCTGTATGCAAGCATGGCTGTAAATTTTCTCTAATTTTAGTTTTTCTCCTCTTCAAAGGCTGAAAGCATATACTTTTAGATAAACCAATTAGATTACCATTAATTACTGTTTCCTGTGCTTTTGTCCCAAGCTTCCTCCTTTCTATGTAATCCCATCAACTATGGTACCCTTATTTGATTTGCAACAGCCTGAGAGGAGGAAATTGTCCACAGACTGTAAATGAAATTTCTAACATGTAATGACTTCCCTGCCAAGCTCTTCTGTTTATTTGGGACCCACATTAGGAAGTGACAGTACTCTACGTTCTGCCGAACCTCTTCTTTGGCTGGTATGTGGCTAGGATCCAGATTTCGTTCCTTGGTTCAATCCTGCACAATGTGAGAGAACACAAGGGAACTGAGTAAAAATGGATTGGGTGGTTCGGATGGATATTGATCTAATTTCTCCTAAGATTTAAAAAAAAAAAAAAGGCCAGGAAAAGCATTCCAGCAGCAACTGTGCTTACACTTGCAATACTGCGCTTGCACCCCTTATCCAGGGATTTCTTGAGTTGACAAATACTATCCCATTTACCACGTAGCAAGATGGGAAAGCAAAGTTATTTTGTACCTGGAATAGAAAGTCCACGGCACCATCTGGAGCAGACAGACCCCTGCCACCCTGCCATCCAGGTCTTTGCTCAAAGGAGTGGGATTTAAAAGGTTGTTTTCTCACAAAGCTTTTAGTGTTCTTTAGTGTTTTCAGGGTTGGGCTGCCCTTGGGAGAAGTGAATAAAATTCCCCCTGCAAGATGGAAGTTTTCCAGCGCTTGCTGGGAATCGCCGTCAACAGCCTGGCCAGGGGATCGTAAAAAAGGGGCTTAAAGCAGGGAAAGGAGCTCCTGTGAAGCATTCCCGGGGGTTTGCTTCATGGTAACGAAAGGGCAGATGAATTCTGCCCTATTGTATCCTGGGTAGTATTTGTAATAATTCAAGCATCACTTGACTTGGTTGTGAAGGTTAGCTTTGTTCGGAGGTTTGTTTTCCAACAGCTGTTCCCATGGAGAAGCCCCTCTTTCACTCACTGAGAATTCAGCCTAGGTTAGAGAAAGGAACCTTGAAAAGAGCTGAAAAACAGGCCAGAAAGGCATGGAGGTGGGGAGGCAGGATATGGGTAAGGAGAGGTCAGCCCCTTCTCAGAGTGCCCAGGGCTCACTCGCACAAAGCAGCAACATTCAGTGCTCAGGGGCAGCCGTATTTGCTCACTAAGACAAATTTTGAGATGTGGGTACTTCTCACTGGGGAATAAACCCTCGAGGGTGATGCTTTGCTTTCCAGCCTCCTCCCGCTGACCCTTCTGCCCCGCGAGGGACGGGCTGTTCTGCTGCTGGTGTAAGAAGCGTGAGCTCCTAGTGCTTTTGCCTGTTCCCACTGACGGTGGGCTGTGCCCTTTGTAGCTGGGGCTTTGAAGCCCACTGGTAAAGACACGTGCGAGGATCAGGGAGCAAGGAGCTGCGGATACTCTTTTCTGGAAGAACAAAAAGTGTAAGCAGAGTCTGGGGGCAAGAAAAGCAAACGGGAGCGAGGACAATGTTCCAGCGTAACGCCTCACACTGAGGAACGTTTTTACTGTGTAAATAGCCTCCAGCTAACTCGGAGCATTCCAACTTTCTGCTTGTTGAGTGCAAATCGTGTTTTGGCTGCGTGAGGAAGTTTGACGAGCCATGAGGACGTTTGGTGCTAATGCAGCCAGCACCGGACCTAGGAAGCCGCAGTGCCTTTGGGAAGCTCTGTGCTCTAGTTGCTGCTTCCCAGCCACTGAGCTTACCCCTTTCTTCCACCATGTTCCGGAGTTACAGGAGGGGCAATTTGGTTTGTACTGTGCAAGGCACCAGGCTTCCAGTCCCCAGGGGACATTTCGAATCCGACTGAGTGTATTTCAGCCAGGAGAAGCACCCAAGCTCGGCTGTGGTTGCTCAGATCGTCTGTCACTACTGCTTAAAGCAACGTGTCAGGAAGGGTTTTCTTTTTTTGCTTACCTACACAAACTCTGAATGTCTTAAAAGGCTACTGTTACCTCAAGATACCTATCAAAAACCTGTCATTTTCATGTTCCTAAGGATGCCTTTAATTACTCTAATGGAAAAGCACATTTAAAAATAATAATAATTTGTCAGTTACCACTTACTGGCTTTGTGGGGAGGATGAAGGTGCAGCAGGAGTGCCTTTTTGTTCATTTGCTGTAGTTTATTTCTAGTCAGACTTTATGTGTTTGCATAGTGTTGCACTGTTAAGGGTGGTGTTTACCCTGCCCATGGGCCAAAGAGCTGTTCTGTAACTAAGGACGTGAGGAGACACAGGGAAGTCCTGGTGCGTTAGCTACAGACAGATGGGATTTCAAATTTTATTAGCCCCTCATTGCTGTCTTGATCCTAATTGAAAAGGTGTTATGTTTATGCAAATGTACTTTTGAATAACTGTCCATATAGGGAAGTAAAGTATTTTTGCACTTTGCTTTGCACTGATGCACTTTAAATGCACTCTCTAAACGCGTTTGCTTTTCAGCGTGCGGGGAAGCTCCGTAGCCAAGGAGTGACTTCCTTGGCTGACTCCGTGGTTGCAGTCTCTCATGGTGCTGAGCACGTGTACTGCCCCCTGTCCACCTGGAGACCTACTGTCTGGGCACTGAGGGGACCATACAGAGTGCAGGGCGGTATCCACACATCCAAGGAATCTGACACCCATCTCCGTCTTTACCCTCCCCTTGGTCCCATTACAGGTAATCTGCTTAACTGTGGGATCCTTTGGCTCCCGCTCACCACAACAGATGGGCTCCTTGGGTAGCTAGCGACAGCGCAGCGGTACAGACAAAACCTGGTTAATTTGTACGGGAAGGAAGAGAGTTGGGAAGCCTCACGGAGTCTATCAGTCACTCATTTAATTTGCGGTCTTGCCACAACAGAGTGTTACCACAAGAGGGGACCAGAACTCTTTCCGATCTCCCCTACCTGGTTGTGGGGGTGCTGGGACAGTATCCAGAGCAGAGCGATGGAGGCGCGACGCACATCCTCGCTGCCAGATGCCAGGAGAGCGCGTAGCTTGGGCAGGACGTCCTCAGCGACCATCTCCGCCTGGATGTCGGCTGGTTTGGGAACATGACCAAGGTCAGGGAGTGTCAGGGCACCATGAGGAGATATTCCAGCCCTGAATCATGAAATTAGAGGGCACCCCCCACCTCTGTGGGATGGGACCACACTGGAAGTTTGTTTATAAAAATAAACGCTCATTTGTTTTGACTCCTTTTGCCAAAAGATTAACGCAGGCTTGAGAGCATAACGTAGCTTTGGGCACCCTTCAGTTCGTGTTTGAGCCTCAGCGAGAAGAACAGCAGGGAACTTTGAGTGCTTCATTGGCCTAAGGCCTGGTGAGAAGGTGGCGCCTTCTGCTGCACAGATAGGAAGACCTCCGCAAGCACCACCTATCCCACAGATACGGTTAGTCAGGGGAGAGATCCTGGTTCAATCAATCCTTCTACCCATTTGTCCCTGCACCCCCAGCAAGTGCTTTCGGGCCCTACGGCATCACCAAAGCAGCCGGCAGATGGAGAGACAGCCCTAAAGGGCCAGGCAGACCAGGGGTTTTCAACCACACCAAGGACCAGCGCAGCACCTCCTTTACTTCTAGCTCCACTATAATTGTGATTGCTTGAAAATGAAGCACCTCAATGTTTTCTAGATGAAAAACTCTACCCTGGACCCCAGGGCTCTTGTGCTGAGTGTGCTAGTTCTCTGCTTTCATCTCCCAGGTGTGCTGCAGAAGAGGAACTTAGGCATTTAATAGGACATGATTTTTTAAAAGGATGACAGATGCTTGGGAGAAAATGATATTTAATGACAGCCAGATTCATGCCTTGGGAGAAGGCAGGTACCCACTCAAGCAGCAATTCTGGGAGACATTCTGTCCTTTTCAGGTTTAATGCTTAGACATGGAAGGGAGAAAACTTACTACACTTGCAAAGGCTCTGTATTAGAAGACTTCTTTCTCTCTCGCTACACTACCCCTCACTACCTGGGAACTCCGAGGCTGGTTTAGTTACTGTATGCTCTGCACCTCCCTCTTCCCCTAACATTAATTAAACTGTGGAAAAGGGGGTACCTCTTCGCTTTTAATATGAAAGGTTCCCAGCCCGCTGTGCTCACTCTGAAAGGCAGGGAGAGAAAGAAAAAGAAATAGTGTGGTTTGTTTATCTCCAAGAGACTGCTTACCACTGGTAGCCAGATTTCTTAGGCAAACACATGCCTGGCTGGAAACCTGCTTGTGCCAAGGTGAGAGGGGGGAGGG